GGTCGTCATTCTCACAGAGCTCCTTGGCGGACATCCCAGAAGACGGCACATAGCGACTCTGTCCTTCGAATCCCGAGCTGCCGCTGCCTGTGAGAGAAGCAAGTGACTCCACTGCAGACCACTGGACGCTGCCCCAACACTTCTGCCGTCTGACATTCAAGCAAGTAATCAAGAACTGAAATTGCTTAATGTTAAGACCTTAGTCCAACAGCAGAATATGACAAAGTCACTCAGTTACTGAAGGAAGTCTGGCTCGCGGGTAACACCAGGTTCTGCAAACCAGGTTTGGCTGGCTTTGAGAATCTTCTTCGAGAAGCTTTACTTTCCCCTCCAAGCAACAGCTGAGAAACAGGGGAGGGGAGCCTGTCCATTACCAACAAGATGGCACGTGGGGCACTACAGACAGAACCAGGAAAAGAGGCAAACAAGCGAAACATGAGGTGTTAGAACTGCTGTAGATCTCAAATGCGAAAAGGACTTCTTTTTTTAAAGATTTATTTGAAAGGCAGAGTGACACACAGACAGGGAGAGACAAAGAGAGATCTTTCACCTGCTGGTTCATTCCCAAATGGCCACACAGCCAAGGCTGGGCCGGGCCAGGCCAGGCACTCCATCCCAGTCTCTCATGTGGACGGCAGGGCCCAAATACTCACACCACCTTTCCCTGCCTTCCCAGGCGCATCAGAAGAGGACCAACGGCACTTGATTGGCACTGGCTATGGGATGCCGGCATCCCAGCAGCAGGCTAACAGCCACAACAGCGGCCCCCAAAATGACTCTTGAGAAGTGAAAAGTTCAGCTTCGTGTTTCTATGAATGATTTTTTTATTTTTTTGACAGGCAGAGTGGACAGTGAGAGAGAGAGAGAAAGGTCTTCCTTTTGCCGTTGGTTCACCCTCCAATGGCCGCTGCAGCCGGCGCACTACGCTGATGCGATGGCAGGAGCCAGGAGCCAGGTGCTTCTCCTGGTCTCCCATGGGGTGCAGGGCCCAAGCACTTGGGCCATCCTCCACTGCACTCCCTGGCCACAGCAGAGAGCTGGCCTGGAAGAGGGGCAACCGGGACAGAATCCGGTGCCCCAACTGGGACTAGAACCTGGTGTGCCGGCGCCGCAGGTGGAGGATTAGCCTAGTGAGCCGCGGCGCCGGCCATCTATGAATGATTTTATCCCCACTTTGTCGGCAGCCTAGGCTCAGAGGTTAAGAAACTTGCCTATGGGGCCAGCGCTGTGGTTGGCGGGTAAAGCCACCACCTGTGGTGCCGGCATCCCATATGGGCACCAGTTCGAGCCCTGGCTGCTCCTCTTCCGATCCAGCTCTCTGCTGTGGCCTGGGATAGCACTAGAAGATAGCCCAAGTCCTTGGGCCCCGGCACCCATCTGGGAGACCCCGAAGACGCTCCGCTCCTGGCTCCCAGCTTCAGATCGACCCAACTCCAGCCGTTGTGGCCATTTGGGGAGTGAACCAGCAGATGGAAGACCTCTCTCTCTGTAACTCTGTCTCTCAAATAAATAATAAAAAAAAGAAACGTGCCTTTGATTACAGAGTTAGGTAGTAGAGATGAAGAAAAACATAGATAATGATTGGCTGATTTCTAATCGACGTCTGAAATAATTTTCAGTGACTAGGTGAGAACAGGGACTAAAATATGTAACTGAAATAGCTGGATTTAAGTGGGAGAGAAGTGGTGTAAAGAAGGAAAAGGAGGTCGCATTCATGTGAGACTTCATCAGTGCCGACTGCACTTGACATAAACATCAACGAACGCAGAAGTCAGCAGCACAGGTGTTTAAAAAAAATTTTTATTGGAGCTGCGCCAATCTGAAGCCAGGAGCCAGGAGCTTTTTCCTGGTCTCCCATACGGGTGCAGGGGCCCAAGGACCTGGGCCATCTTCTACTGCTTCCCAGGCCACAGCAGAGAGTTGGATCAGAAGTGGAGCAGCCAGGACTAGAACCGGCGCCCACATGCGATGCCGGCGCTACAGGCTGGGGCTTTACCTGCTGCGCCACAGCGCCGGCCCTGCGGGTAATTTTTAAATTACTGATGTTCTTTGCTTGCTATAGGTTTATTTAGATTTTTCTGTTTTCTTCACGAATTTGCTTCTTCCTAGAAATCTGTCCATTTTACCTAAGTTGTTGGTAGACAGCTGTTCATGGTATTGCTATCGTCCCTTTTATATCTGTAAGGCAACAAACAATGTTCCCTCTTTCATTACTAATAATTTGAGTCTTCTTTTTTTTGGGGGGGTCTTGCCCAAGGTTTGCCAATTTTGATGATCTTTTCAAAGAACCACTTTGATTTTCTGATTTAGTCTACCAGAGCAGTCTCCATTTACTCACTTCCATCCCAACTTTCACTCCCTTCCTTCTACCTGTGTGGAGCTCAGTCCACTTTCTTTCTGATGTTCCAAGTGCAGAGGTGAGGTTACTAATTCGAGCTCTGTATTATTATTATGGGTTTCTTACTACTATAAATTTCACTCCAAGTCACCAGTTTGGCTGCATCCCATAAATTTTGGTATACTGTATCTATCTTCATTTTTCATCTTAAGTGTTTTCCGATTTTTAAATTTTCATTTATTTAAAAAAATAAACATTTAGGGGTTAGTGATACTGCACAGAAGATTAAGCTGACACTGTGACACCAGCATCCCATGTAAGTGCCTGTTCCATTTCCCATCCATCCCTTGCCAATGCGCCTGCAAAGGCAGCAAATGACAGCCCAAGTATTTGGTCCCTGCTACCCCATGGAGACCCAGATGGAGTTTCAGGCTCCTGGCTTCAGCCTGGCCCAGCCCTGGTGGTTGCAGTCATTTGGGGAGTGAACCAGTGGATAGAAGATGCCTTTCTCTTTCTCTCCCCTGCTCCTACCCCCTAACTCTGTCTTTCAAATAAACAAATGATTTTCAAAAATATTTTATTTTACTTGAAAGAGTTACACTCAGAGAGGAGAGGCGGGGGGGAGGGAGAGGGAGAGGGGGAGAGGGGGAGAGGGGGAGAGAGGGAGAGAAGGAGAGAGGGAGAGAGGGAGGGAGGGAGAATAAGAGGGAGAGAGGGAGAATAAGAGGGAGAGAGGGAGAATAAGAGGGAGAGAGGGAGAATAAGAGGGAGAATAAGAGGGAGAATAAGAGGGAGAGAGGGAGAGAGGGAGAATAAGAGGGAGAGAGGGAGAGAGGGAGAGGGAGAATAAGAGGGAGAGGGAGAGGGGTGTGGGTATCCCAGCCAGCAGCTCAGCTGCTAGGCCGACATGTTCCCCTGCAGCTCCTCTGTGATTTCTCCTTTGACACCCTAGGTGTTTAGCAGCGTGTTTACTTTCCAAGGACTCGTGAGCCCCTCAGACTTCTTTGTTACTGATTTCTAAATTTTACCCACTGTGGTTAGAGAACGTATCGGGATGACTTCCACGCTTTTAAGTTTATGAAGGCACATTAATGGACCAGCTTAGTGTGTCTCAGACAATGTTCTATGCACACCCGAGAAGACTGGATTCTGCTGTTGTTGGGCAGAATGTTACAGATGTCTGTTAGGTCTAGTTAACTGATAATGTTGTGGGGCCGGCACCGTGGCACAGTAGGTTAAAGCTCTGCCTGCGGCGCCGGCATCCCATATGGGCACTGGTTCTAGTCCCGGCTGCTCCTCTTCCAATCCAGCTCTCTGCTGTGGCCTGGGAAAGCAGTGGAAGCCATCAAGTCCTTGGGCCCCTGCGCCTGTGTGGGAGACCCAGAGGAGGCTCCTGGCTCCCAACCGGCACTCCAGCCGTTGTGGCCATTTGGGGAATGAACCAGCGGATGGAAGACCTCTCTCCTCTCTGCAACGCTGCCTTTCATTTAAAAACAACAAGCACTGAGATACGGAAGGACTGCACTGTCTGTCCTCCCTTCAGCGTGGTCGCTGGGAGCTGTGCTGAGGACTCTCTCTGAAGACAAGCCCCGCTCTGCTCCTGTGCCTCCATCACTGCTCTCTGCCCACACAATTCTTGCCCAGTATTACTCTGTGATGCTACATCCTCACCTTCTGGGCTTCCCTAGCCCGCCCCTCTGCGCCTGTCTACTCATCTATCTCCAACAATGAAAGCCTCTTTGCACTATGATGCACAAAGGAAGCCAAAAAAGTTAGAAGGTGAACCAATTTACTGACTGGAACCAACACCACTCACTGGGTCACTGTACTTTTCAATCTTTCAGGTTCCCACCAAATAATGAGCACGGCAGGATTAGGGTGCACACAGAACCTTAGGAGTGAGCTGGTACCACGCAGGAGCCCACTCAATCTTGGCCTCTCTCCTGTTCTCATCTAGCTTTCTACAGAACAGTGACCTGATCTGCTACAGAGCTAGGTCGAGGGCGCTCCAAGTCCAGGGAACAGCACAAACCCCAAAGAGTAAGGAGAAAGGAACAGATCAGAACTGGTATAATCTACCTGGAACTGCAGAAAAACCCCAGGCCGACCCAAACCACTGGGAGTAAGCCAATTCTGACACAAACTAAGAAAATCCAATAGTGGCGAGATCCTTGTTAAGAACACGGGAACCTTAAAGGTGGTCCTCCTTCCCACGGGCACGGAAGGCAGTGATTCCATCAGGACCAGAACAGCTGCAGTGTGTGGAGCCGCCCGACAGTGAGTTCTGTTTATCCTACATTCAGAGCTGACTTTACTGCTCTGAGAAGTTTTCAAAAACACACATACTTACAACAAACGTAACAGAGTTTAAACTCAAAAGAAACCAAGCAACAGCACTACAAAACTTATAGATTAACCATTCAGATATAAATTCTACAAAATAGATTTACAGATAGGAAAGCATAATTACGATTATATACACTTAGTACTAGCTTTAAGTTTTCCATATTGCTTGATAAGAATTATTTATGAAAACCCCTATACTATTAACTATGAAAACGTAAAAATTGTTTTGCAGACAAAACAGAATACACATTACAGACTGGGAAGAATCAATGAGCCCAGCACAACGGCAGCGCTGAGCGTTCAGGGGTGTACGTACATCTGCTGGACTTCCTGTCCACCGCGTTTCTGCCTGCCTTCAGGGCGTCCTTGCCTGCGGGCTGGAACTTGGACTGGTTCTGCTGATGGTCAGACAACTTGCCTCCACTTCTCCTGCCATTCACCACCATGTTCTTGGATTCTCCCAACCACTTCATACCCACAGACAGCCTGACTCAGGTGCATTTAGTCACTCTCTTCAAACAGCTCCGAGAATAAGGTCAACGTTCTCTCCTAAGAGAAACAAACAAAATGGGGAGGTCAATACAGGAAAGAGCACGGTAAGCAGACCCTTGAGAAAGACAGAGTATCACAAAGTGGCTTAGTGATGTGTCTCCGCTTTAAGGAGCACCTGCCGCCCCCCCTTGACCCCCACACAATGCCATGTTCAAGACAGCGGTGCCCCCGGAACCTGATTACACGTAAACTGAGGCGGGGACTCACTCTGCCTTTCAGTCCCTGTACTCAGAAGAGTGGCTGACACTGAGCGGGTGCTCAATACTCATACCCGACCCTCAGAACTTTAATTAGCTGCATTTGGAAACTGAATGGCTTGGATAGTGGAGAATTCTGTAATCTACAAGGACCTTGGGAAATGAGAGTAAAACAGATTACACCTGTTGAAATGAGAAGACGGCCATTCATCACAATCTCATCACAGAATCATGTTTTAGTATTAAATCAGACGAAAAAGGCCATAAGCTAAAAACTACAAACATACAGAACTTTAGAGCTAAATATATGGAATATTGATATCACCAGTACAATTCCTTCAATTTGCAGATGAAACGGAAGCCAAACCCAATGCCATGCAAGCCTGTAGCACTCATGAGTAGAGGCTACCCTCAAATCTCTCAGGCACACCAGACAAGAACTAATTCCCCTTTTCACAAAGACACAGGAAAGTATAAACAGTAAGTTACTTCAAGCACTCCCAGAAATGCAGACCTGGACGTGCCCTTAACGATACCCAACACAAATAGAAAACTTAATTTTTGCTTCCCTCAGGTCTCCTTTATGGCAAGGAATACTTTTATTTATTTAATATTTATTTATTTGAAAGGGTTACAGAAAAAGGAAGAAATACAGATCTACCTGCTGGTTCACTCCCCAAATGGTTGCAATAGCCAGGGCCAGGACAGGCTGAAGCCAGGAGCCTGGAACTCCAGGGGTCCAGGTACTTGGGTCATCATCTAATGCTTTCTCAGGTGCCTTAGCAGGGGGCTGGAACAGAAGTGGAGCAGCTGGGACTTGAACTAGTGCTCAAGTGGGATGCTGGTGTCAGAGGCAGCAACTAAATCTGCGGCTGGCTCCTGATTTTTAAGATTTTACTTAGAGTTACAGAGAGAGAGAGAGAGAGAGAGAAAAGAGGAAGAGAGAGAGAGAGAGAGAGAGAGAGAGAGAGATGTCTTCTATTCACTGGTTCACTCCCCAGATGACTGCAATGGCCAGAGCTGAGCTGATCTGAAGTCAGGAGCCTCCTCCAGGTCTCCCACACAGGTGTGGGGGCCCAAAGATGTGGGCCATCCTCCACTGCCTTTCCTAGGCCACAGCAGAGAGCTGGATCAGAAGAGCAGCAGCTGGGACTTGAATTGGCACCCATACAGGATTCTGGCACCGCAGGCAGAGGCTTATTAACCCACTATGCCACAGTGCAGGCCCTAATTTTTATCTCTTGAGTGGGAATTTTAGCTGGGACTTAAAAATCTTCTCTATGACCACTTCAGCCATTCGAGGAGTGAACCACTGGATGTAGGACTGATGTCTGTATTGTGCCTTACAAATAAAAATAACTTAAAAAAAATAAAAGACATAAAAAGCAGAAACCCGAGGCCCAGCACCCATGCTTGAGACTTCCAAGGTCACGCGGGCTCCAGTGTGCTCTGTGTGCGTGTGCATCCATTTCATTATCTGTTAGGGCAACGAAGCGATGCCAGAATTTAAGAAAAATTACAAAATAATGATTTCAAGCTAACGTATCCTGAGAATTAGAAAAAGTTCACAAATAAATCATTTTAGTAGCAGCACCCTTGAGCCCAGTTCATGGAACACAGGCAGATTCACTCTACTTTATTCACAACTTCAACTCAGTGTGGGTTACTGATCCAACCTGGACCAAACCTGTGTCCTCACGGCCATTTATTTATTTATCTCGTGATATTATTCTCGTGTGAAGCGAAGGCAGCTCAGTGCAGCGGGCGCTCCCGTCACAGTACGGCTGACAGCACGCCTGCATCCACGACTGGGTCTGCGTCGGCAGAAGCTGGGACACGGTCACCAAAGCAAGGCCTACGCAAGCTCACAGGTGAAGAGCTGCAGCAAAGGGATCGATATCTGGGGGCTGTTTGTGTATTTTCAGCCCAGAATGAGTTACATACTCATTACCAGGGCATCGCTTGTTCTGCCCTCAGGAGCACGGATTTCTTTTATTCATTTATTTCTTTTCGTTTCATTTGAAAGGCAGACACACAGATGGAGAGGGATTCTCCATTCCCTGTTCACTGCCCCAATGTCCAGAACAGCCAGGGCTGGGCCAGGCTGACGCCAGGAACCTGAACCCCATCTGGGTCGCCCACCTGCACGTCAGGCGCCTGGTGCCTCCCACAGTGCCCGCTACCAGGAAGCTGGGCCTGACCCAGGTCTGCCGCTGCTGCACTGAGTCCAGGCCTTGTCCTTGGTGGTGTGTGATCTTTCCTACAGAACCACAGCTTACATCTAAATGCAAACAGCTCGCCCACGCCAGCGCTGTAAGGGACTGTGCAGAAACAGGAGTTGAAGACACGGAGCAGAGCACAAGCCTAAAGTTTCACGGCTGCTACAGAGGACTCCCACCCCCAGCATACAAGCAGTCTCTGCAGGGACACAGATGACTCGCGTGGACACGCTTCTGTGAGCTTGGCTTGGTTGACAACATCTGAGCTAATTAGCCACTGACTACAATTAAAGTAAAAATTACCTCAATTTAACCTGAAAATCGGCAGAAGAGAATTTCAAGTACTGGCCACTCCTTAAGGTAGAAACGTTCCGTTGTTCTGGTTTCCCAATAGAAAAATGCCAGGAACGATGCTGCACAGCTACCACATTGCAGACACTTCTGCAGGCACTGGGGAGCAAGCACGGAACCAAACAAGGCTGTGTCTTCATCGGTGTGTCCCTTGTCCAGATGTCGGCGACAGAGCGTGTCTCCCATCTCAGCGATGAGACCAAGGCAGCCACCAAGCTCACTTACATTTCACATGTACCTAACACACATGTCCTAAACACCATACAAACTTCAGACATTGTTTTAAGTCAACACATACAAGCTGCACGGTTGTGGCGTGCCATCTGATGTTTCCACACTTGCATGCATGTGTAAAACTCAAATCCAGACAAGCATGTCCTATCTATCTCCTCATTTATCATTTCTTTGTGGTCAAAACATTCAAAAATTCTGTCTTCCAGTTTGTTCTTTTTTCTTAATATTTATTTATTTATTTGAAAGTCAGAGTTACATTGAGAGTTGAGAGCAGAGAAAGTTGGGTGAGGTCTTCCATCCGCTGGTTCACTCCCCAGATGGCCACAACAGCCGGAGATGTGCTGATTCGAAGCCAGGAGCCAGGAGCTTCTTCCAGGTCTCCCACGCGGGTGCAGGGGCCCAAGCATTTGGGTCATCTTCCACTGCCTTCCCAGGCCACAGCAGAGAGCTGGATCAGAAGTGGAACAGCCGGGTCTTGAACCAGTGCCCATATGGAATGCTGGCGCTTCAGGCCATGGCGTTAACCCGCTGGGCCACAGCGCCAGCCATCTTCCAGCTTTTTCAAAATACATACTTTATTGTTGTTATCTAGCTACTCTACTGTGTAACGGAACACTAGAATCTACTTATCTAGGGGCTGGCGCTGCGGCGTAGCGGGTAAAGCCGCTGCCTGTGGTGCTGGCATCCCATATGGGTGCTGGTTTAACTTCCAGCCGCTCCACTTCTGATCCAGCTCTCTGCTGTGGCCTGGGAAAGCAGTAGAAGGTGGCCCAAGTCCTTGGGCCCCTGCACTCATGTGAGAGACCCAGAGGAAGCTCCTGGCTTCGGACTGGCGCAGCTCTGGCCGTTGCAGCCAATAGGTGAGTCAACCAGCAGACGGAAGACTCTGCCCCCACCCCACCCCCGTCTCTCCGTAACTCTGCCTTTCAAATAAATAAATCTTTAAAAAGAATTTACTTATCTAACTTAATGGATACAATTATCTCAATAATTTTGAGGGCATTTGGTTTAATGAAAAGACCCAATGACCTACAAGGGACAGAATGTCTGGTGGGTTCAACTCCCAGGCGCCCTGGCTCCTGATATCAGCTTCCTACCGGGCACGCCCTGGGAAGAGTGCTGATGAAGCAACTGGGCGTCTGCCACCCACCTGGAGACCTGGGGGGGGTTCCCGGCTCCTGGTTTCTGCCTGGCCCAGACCCAGCTGTTGCCGGCATCTGGGGAGTGAACCAGCAAACGAGAGATCGTCTGTCTGGGGACAAGAGAGAACAGGGAGACTAGTTAAGAGATCTCTGTGATAACCAGAGGACAACTAGTAGCCTGCAGCAGCAGAGGCAGCAGGAAGTGACGGGTTTGGGATCTTTTCTCAAGATTTTGCTAGAAGACAGGATTTGTTGACAGGCTGAATGTGGGAGTGAGGGAACAAGGACTCCAACACGCCTCCAAGCAGAGGGATGGAACATGGAGGGCTAAGACAGACAGATGCCCATTAGAGATCCCAGTGGAAGAGGCGGCTGCAGTACAGGTCTAGGGTTGGGATCTAAATCTGGAGTTGGAGCATTACTGGTAACGTATCGAGGAGCGAGTATGGCGGGACACGGGGCACTCTGACGTTTCGAGATTCGGATGAGGAGAAAGCAGCTCCAGGGAGGCAATGACAAACCTGACAGTAGAAGCGGAGGCGCAGAAGGAATCTAAAAGCGGCCACTGGTGACTGCACCTTGCTCACAAACAACAACTGAAATGGATGTAACGGTGACAAGACAAAAGACCTCAGGAAACACAGCTCAGGGGTCGGCACTGTGGCACAGCAAGACAAGACACTGCTCACAAGGCCGGCATCCCACATGGAACAGCCAGTTCAAGGTCCAGCTGTTCCGCTTCCGATCCAACTCCCTGCTAATGTGC